ACCCGCGGCCTTGGTGTTATCAGCACCGCACTCTACCGAGTGAGCCACGGGCCAGCCCTTAGATTTCAATTTTTATATGTAATTTCAGTAAGTTATAATTACTCTGAAATGCAAAGGTCTGCATTAAATGGAATCAGAATTAACATGTAATATTACTCTCTAAAATAGTAAAGTGAATTGAAGGCTGGGGAATGAGTTATTTAAAGATATATTTTTGAATAAAGCAGTATTGGTATAATGCAGTCCTATTTTATACAATGATCTAAAAAGAATTTAGATTTGGTAATAGCACATATCTTTAAAGACCCCATTGTAGGAAGCCATTTATAAACACACAGGTACAGAAAGGTGTGGTATTGATCAGAAGGCTGCCAGCTTTAACTACCTAGCAACCTATTAGGTTATTTTAGGGTGTTAGTTGAGAAGCAAACTCATTTCCTTTAATAAATACTGAATTGTGTGCCTTATGGTCCCAATGATAACATTGTTTATTTTTAGTCCATTGGATAGAAAAAGCTTTCAAAGGCAGGTATGTAATATTTAAAGATAGGGGTGTGTGGAGGGGGAGGCAGAGAGAGAAGAGAAATTCATATAGAATTGGCACTTACAAGTTCAAGATTATTAATAGGGGAAGGCAATTGCTTCTTCCTGAAGCCAGGTGAAACTGGAGAGATAATGGCCCTTGAGGACTAGGGAGGGAAAACTACCATTCTTTGACTACTTTTGAATGAGCAAATCAAAAAAGATTTCAAAAAGAGCAGACTGCATCCACACTGCCATCCTACAGACAATGTACATTCACTCTCAGGCAATTCTTCACTGTTTTCTCAACTAAAGATAATTACCAAAATATGTTATGTTGTTGTATCATTTAGATTCTGTTTTTCCTCAAGTTTTATGGAATGCTACTCATGTAGGAAAAAAACTCTTTAGCTGAGACACTGTCAAATTTTTAATGTCATACTGTGACAAAATGATTCTTTTAACATCCCTTATAAATTCTGGGAAATAATTCTTCCTATCCCCAGTATCTTATCAAATTTAGGTAAAAATTTTTATACTGGTTTTCCAGTGACCAGGCTCTCTTTTCAGAGTTTTAATTCTTGTGCTTAATGCGTCTGACCTTCATAATTCTGCCTTGTTCATAGTTTAAAAGAGTGATTTGATAAACGGTGTTACACAGTTGAGTTTGGACTGGATCACCCAATATTTTGGTGCATTGTAATAGGCGTCCTGTGGTTTGTGGAGGGTGAGCTTATAAATAATGACCTTAGGAAGTGGAAGAGACCAGAAGGCAGGAAATATATGACCCATTTTAACCCCTTGTAGTATTCCTTCTACTATGAAAATGTAAATAGCTTTGGTGGAAAGTTTTTACCCCCGTGGTGGACACAGGCCTGGCCAGAAAGTTGTCATAATGAACAAACGACTATTTTGTACCAGCATTACAATTAAGGGGNACCTTCATAATTCTGCCTTGTTCATAGTTTAAAAGAGTGATTTGATAAACGGTGTTACACAGTTGAGTTTGGACTGGATCACCCAATATTTTGGTGCATTGTAATAGGCGTCCTGTGGTTTGTGGAGGGTGAGCTTATAAATAATGACCTTAGGAAGTGGAAGAGACCAGAAGGCAGGAAATATATGACCCATTTTAACCCCTTGTAGTATTCCTTCTACTATGAAAATGTAAATAGCTTTGGTGGAAAGTTTTTACCCCCGTGGTGGACACAGGCCTGGCCAGAAAGTTGTCATAATGAACAAACGACTATTTTGTACCAGCATTACAATTAAGGGGTGAATGTAAGCCTCATTAAGAAGGAAGAATGTTGATGACGAAGTAAAGTGTATGTTATTGATATTCTCTAAATGTTTAGTTTTATAATTAACAACATGTTGGGATTTAAATTTCTGCTAGTTTTGCAGGCTGATTTCAGGGGGATTATCTTAGCTAACTTATATAACTAACTAGAACCCTACTTGCTGCATGGTTTTTGTGCTCTCTCCTGGAGTAGGGATTTAGGGAATGAGACTTAGCAGTTCTATTTCTATTCAGGGCAGGATTTTCCTGAATGGAGTCTACTTCTTACCAATTGATAGAACAAAGCTCACTCTTGTCTTAGGGGATCATGCTAAATTTGCTTCCCTCTCCAAGTGGCAATTGGAGATAAAAGTAACTCTATCCTGTATTTTCTCTGGTCCTGTGAATTGTGATGGTGAGTTCCCAGTCAGTTGTGGTCACCTCTTCCTGGGCCTCTGTGATTCTGCATAGATGCTCAGAGCGCTTTCAGTTCAAACTTGAGATAGGTTCAAACATACAGCAGATATCTATTAAACACCTATGTGATGACCTGTGTGACAATTGTGACATGAGTACATTCGTTAAAGGGCAGAGGCCTTTCATCTATGTATGTTATACTGTGTTTTAGGACACCATTGACTTGATTAACTGACATTGTATTTAAACTCATGACAACCTTTTCGATTGCTGTAGGCCACCTTGTTCTCTCTGTCATCTCAGATCTTCCTCCAATAATAGTCAGTCATGTTTTTCTTGGAATTCTTTGGCCAGGCTATGCAGGTCATCTCCTGAAATAAGTTCCTTGAAATTTTTGTGCATTTTGATTTTTCTTCTCCAGATAAGTGTTCTTAAATTTTCCATGTAGATCTCTTATAATCCAAACAGCTTTTTCTCATTTTTTTTTTTTTTTTTTTTTTTTTTTTTAGGTTTTCTAATTCTATAAACCCCGCGTTTTCTTTTTTTTTATTAAAACATAATTGGTTGTACATATCTGTGAGGCACAGCTCTGAATGTCAATACTTGTGTGCAATATGTGATGCTCAGATCAAGATAATTACTGTAGTTATCAATACACAATGTAATCATTTTGGGGGGCCCTTTACAAATTTCTCACTAACCCCTTTTCCCCTTCCCCTTTCCCACCTCTTGTGGCCTCAGTTCCATTCTCTCCTTTTGAAAATTCAATGAATCATCGTGATCGTTGTTTCTGTCTTTATATTTTTGTTTATTTTTTTAGCTACCACTTATGAGTGAAGGCATGTGGTATTTCTATTTCTGTACTTGGCTTATTTCCCTTAGCATAATTTTCTCTAAGTTCATCCATGTTGCTAGGAATGACAAAATTCCATTTCTTTTTATGGCAGAGTAGTATTCCGTTGTGTAGAAATACAACATCTTCCTTATCCAGTTGTCAGCTGATGGACATTTAGGTAGGTTCCAACTCCTAGCTATTATAAATAGAGCTGTGGTGAACATGAGAGTGCAGGTATCCCTTAGACATGATGATTTCCATTCCCTTGGGTACTGCAGTAGTGGTATTGCTAGAGCTTATGGCAGTTCAATCTGTTGTCTG